ATTACAAAGATAAGAATCTGGGACAGAGAGGTTTTACAGGGAGTTGGTCAAAGGGCTGCTGAAAAGGAGCAAAGAGGTACAGTTTTTTAATTACCCCTGCAACCTTCATGTAAATCTTGAGAAGGGGTGATTCTTCCACATTTGTTATCTCTAACATGAGGAACAGCACTGCCTCCTGGCATGGAGCAAGGGGCTCCTTTGACCATCCTCTGATTTATAGGAGAGCAGAAGCTCCCACACTTCCACCCACATTAGGAAAACTTTTCATTGGTGTTTTTTGTCTAGTTTTACTTTGGGTATAGCTCTGACCTCCCAAGCTTTGCAGGAGGACACCTCCCCTCCTCTCTCCCTGCTCTTTATCCCAGCAGCAGCTCCTGGTTGTAGGTGCAGGCATATAAGGAGTGAGGCAGAGCCTGGGCATGAATCACTGCCTGAACATCCTGTCTCCTGAGGAAACTGGGATGGAAAGCACTGGCAGAAGTTTAGCTGACCTGCTGGGAAGAGTTCACTCTGTTTAACAGGAAAAAATAGCCTCAGACCTCAGTAAGGCATGGATTTGATTTGTAGTAAGGAATTTAAGGACACCTCTTCCAGGGGATCTAGGATAGTAAAGAGGTGAGGGAGAAGGTAAGAGATAACTAAATAGGATAGAAATTATTTTTTAAAATCCCTGTTCAGCAGAAAATAGCTAAAGCGGGGTATCATTTGCTAGCTGGACAGTATTGCTTAACAAGACACATGTGTACATTACTGCCATTAAGCAATCAATAAACCTGGGTGCAGGGCTACACAGAGTTTCTGGTTCCTCCCCTTGCTTTGCCCTGACTCAGCACTGAGTCTGTACATTTGGGCAGGTATTACACAGGCAGCAGAGAACTTCTTGTGATAAGGAGTGGTATAACCAAATGAAAAAGAAACAACACCATCCCCATAAGCAAATCAGGCATGTTTCTCTTTATTTGACGTAAAAGTTTGGGGTTTTTTTTCCCCCTCTTTAGCTAGAACTTCAGACTGCTGCTTCTCTGCAGCCCAACTCTCCACACTGTGCACTGCCTTCAAGGACCCGTCTAGCAGACGATTCCTCTTTCAGCGTGTTCACACCTGCACAATTACCATAAGTGGAAGAAATTTCCTCTATTCTACAGCAAACAATGTAAAGGACTGCATTTCTCTTTCTGCTCAAACCCAGAACACAGTTGCTTTCAGAGCAGGTTATGAAAGTCCCCACACATCAGTTCAGAAAAAGGCTGTGTCATACAAAGGTGACTGTGTGCTGTTGTTCCCCACAGACAGTTATTGGAGCTTTGACAGTCCAGTTCCAGAGATCACATTTTCTTCCTCAAACAGATTCTAAGCCATTCTAAGGATGTCTTCCACATGTCTTAATGTCTTAATTGAAGATATTAAGAAAACTCCCCTCGTGATGTGGTACCAAACACAGGCGCCCAGTGAGACCCTCACCCTCCTCTGAAACGTCCAAGCAAGGGGAGCTCAGCCTCCCCACCAATTTCACCGAACTAATTACTGTCTGAAACTAGGCACTTGCTTAAATGCTTTGTCAGGCCCAGGCTCCTGGATTAACTGCAGACTCAGTCTCTCCCAGCACATCACTCGACAGCGAGCGCCTTCCCACTCCGTCCCCACCCATCCGAGTCTTCGGGGAATGTTGCCATGGATTTCCACGGGACACAGGAGTCCATATTGGAAGAACCCTGTTAAGGTTGCTAGGCGTAAATATTGACTTAACGGCTCTTCCGCCTTTTTTCTTTTTTAAGAACAGATTTGTTGGCCATGGCTGGAAAAATAGAATTATGGAGTGTGCATGATTCACTCTGGCACTCACACAAACATGCAGATCAGTTGGCTGGCAGCTCGGCTCCTCTGTTCGCAGAACATCGCTCCTAAAATGTGTCATTTTGTTTTGGCAGCAGGAGCGTCCAAGCCCACAGACAGAGAGATAAAATCTCCTACCTTCCATGTACTTCACATGGGAGTCACTGACCTTATGCTGCTCAGAATATTGGATTAATACTCCCAACAGCTTTTTAGTCCAGACACACAGAAGGACTGACAGAAGTTTTGGTTTCACACTAAGCCCGGCCCAGAATCCTCCCCTCTCACACCCACTCTCCTGGGTCTGCCACCACAAGAGAGGACAGGAAAGCAACTGCAGGTAAAACTGTTTATTTGAAAGTCTTTTCAATAAAGGTTGTTTCACAGCCAAAAATGAGACAGACAATAACTCCTGTGACAGAAGGAAACTAGCAGAGGTGAGAGGGGACCCAAAGCTTTTGGTCACTGGATTAATGTTTTCATCACCAGTACTCCATGCTCCAGCTCTTAATCCTGACAGCAAAAAATGATCCTTAAAACATTAATTCAACACACAGCATCATTCAAACTCTCCCATATTGATTCTGCCAGATCTGAATTATTTGGCAGGGCTGGCAGGGGGATGAACGTTCACCAGAGATGCCTGAGGGTACAAAGTATATGGGAACTGTGGACATTGATCCTGGACATGCCAGCACAATCTCTGACTGTTCCTAAAACGTGCTCACCACACACAGGGGCATGAGCAGCTCACCTGAGAGCAGCAGCTCACCTGAGAGCTGGCAGACACTGCAGGGATTATTTTCAGGATCCTACCAGACCTCAATTTGATATACAACTGGGGGAACTCAAGAAGAGTTGTTGCATTTCATAACACTTGGCAGAGGTCTGCCAGAAAGCACAGAGCTTGTCAGGAGGAAAACAAAACTCTAATGATTGAAGATAGGAGAAGAAAGACCAGTGTAAGACAAGAGATCCTTCTCTGAAGGATCAAGGAGTTTGCCTGTATTTTAGCCAGGCAGGGTGTCTTTGGGACTTTTATCCCATCAGAGTTTAAGCACCCTCAAAAGACATAATGCAAAACCAGACAGGGAGACTAGGATCAACACACGTGCATGCTTCTATTTGCTTTGCATCCATTTTCTGTGTCTCCACACCTTCCCCTTGGGGAACAGGGACCAACTGCTCCTTCCAGGCATCCTCTGTGCACATCCTCCAGATGAGGCAGTTCAGTGCATGGTGCATTTAAGCACATGGGGCACCTCACAGCTCTGTAAGGAAGCCCAAGGCTCAGGGGTCCCACCCATTCATTAGACAACACAAGAACTAGCCATTCCTACTCAGTGTTAAGCTACAAGAAACAAAAACAAGGGCACTTAGATGGAGCTTAGCAACAGCTGCTCAGGATCCATTCAACCACTCTCAAATCTATTTTTACTGACAGCTTTTGAAGCAGAGAATTCATTGAACAGAGAAACAGGTTGATATCCCTTCTCCTCAACTGTAGGCAGAATTCAGTTTGTTATTCTCTAATTGTTTCCTTGGTGGCACATAGAAATTCAATAGTGCATCTGCAAGCAAGGATGTCTATTTTCAGAATAAAGACAATGACAGGCAAAGTTTGTATTAGCAACGGCTAAGTAGAAGACACCAGAAGATAAAAAAGGGGAATTCTCATTTAAGGTCCTAATGTGCATAGGACAAAAGATTGGGTAGATCTAATTGCATGAATTAAGGAATTTTCTGCCCACTCACTCTCCTGCCCATGCAGCTGGAATAGCACAGCCCAGGTGCTGCCTCCTCCTTTCTCAAGAAACTGTTTGCAGGGAACAGAAATGTTTCACAATGCAGAAACAAGAAATAACTTAAATTATTTCTCTGCTCTACCAGCTCAGGATCAAGGCTGATGCAAGTCAGTTCTTACTGCACGTGGATATTGCCACTCTTACAACCCACACAAGTACCAGGGGACGAACCCATCAACACAAAGACTTTCAAGCTGTGGTTATTGGCTGTCATTGCCTGGTTACAGAGATGGCAATGGTTGAGTTTTATGACAGGTTCTCAATAACTCTACACAGCAAGACAACATGCTACATTTGTCACTGGGTTTACATTGTACCGACCCAAGCCAGGCTCAGCAATAGGAAGGCACTGCTACTAATAGTTGTAGCTGTTTGGAGCTCCATTTATGTCTCTCCACTGAAAAAGATCCTCTCTGCCTACTGAGATGTCTGGATTTGCCTTTGAACCTGCTCCTTTGATTTAGGCTGCCTGAGCTCTCCATCCAGTTAGTTTTTGGGATCAGTTTGGTCATGTGGTGCCCTGATGGTGATCAGCCATCAGCTCTGGCATGACCAAGCACTGGGGCAAGTTCCAGTTTGGACAGAAGTGCAGCAGGAATAAGAGTGTCCCAAGAGTCCAATGCAGAGTAGTTCTGTATAGCTGTGCTACCTTTAACTCAGTGAGAAGGTACTTTCAGAAGTTTAAAATACACTTCATGAACCAATCCTAAATCATGAACAAGTCTTTCTATTTCCCAGGATGACAGTCAAGGGTGATAAATTCAGATCCAAATGTCTCAAGTCAGGTGAGATGAATCCCACCTTCAGGTCATAAGATGAGGAAGAGGTAAGGATCAAGCCTCTAATAACTACAATGAATTCATAGAAATTGTGAAATTCCTTTTTCTTATCCATGTATTCCAGCCAAAGAAAGGAAAAAACAAATCCCCCTTACAGAAGTACAGAGGTACCACTCATCTGCATGGCACAGGTAACACTGTCTCTTATGACAATCCATAGCATGTCATCATTTTAGAGCAATTAATAAACAGACTGTTTTAAACACTTAAAAATTATAACCCTGCTCCTCCTCTCCTCAAAGCCTGTGACACAACTGCTGACATTCTCAGTGGATATTTTATGGCATCGTAGACTTACATTAGCCTAAATCCTCTTTTCTCCTGTTTTGCAGCTATCTGGTGGAATTAATATGAAAGAGAAGAAGAGCATTTCTCAAAACATTTTCAACACCATTTAAATTTGCATGATCTTGTCTGTCTGTGATGGGCTGACCAACTTTTCAGTCACATTTGTCAATCACTGTTCCTCAAATGCAAGAGTTTAACTGAAGCAAAGATGCAGAAATGAAGGTCTGGTACTCACTTTCTCAGCACTGCAATTTCATTCTCTATGCTGCTTTCCTTTCCCTTCAGTGCCTTCTTGGGAATGCATTTGACTGCGAAGAGTTTTCCACTTGCTCTCTCTTCAGCCAAAACAACTTCAGAGAATGCACCCCTGAAAGAAGGGAAAAAAACCCCTGGTTTAAAGTGGTGCTTTTTCTTTGAAACCTGTTAACTGAAACACAACCACTGAATATAGTTCTTCTGGTGTCCTTTGGATGCTGCTCTTGTTAAACACAGAAATGACATTACAAACATCTTTCTTTGCCTTTAAAAACGTATGGAGACATTCACACTCATGTAAAACATTAAAGGCTTACCAAACACAACAGTTTTAATAAAGAACCATAGTCCAGCAGTGATATGAGCAAAGTTTGAAAATGAGAAAGTACCATTTCTGCATGGACCACAGTCCGGCTGCTGACTTGGTGGATGATGTACTTTTCCCCTTTCTGAGATTTTTGGAGGTTTAATTCACAAAGAAGCACAAAATCCCTAGGACTAAGTGACACACCAGTGCCAGGAGTGCTCCTGGTTCCTCAGTCACCACAAGAGGTCAGGGCCCCCCACTCTGGTCCTCCCTGGGCTTTCCAGAGCTTCTCACCACTGAATCAACCCTGATTCTGACTGCATCAGAATTTCTCTATGTATACAGAGTTATTCCTCAACACAAACTGATGTGTGTAACCACTAAAGCCAAAGAATTAGATGAAATCACAAGCCTGAACATTGGCCTAAGTAGCAGCCTCCCTACAGTTACCCCAGAGAGTGTTACACAAATAAAGAAACATCATCACAGCAGACAGCCACTAATTGCCAAGAATGGGCAGTGCCTCTGGCCCATTAGGTTATTTCATAACAGTGCATTATTTCTTGCACTGTCAGTGCTTCCTTCCAAACCCCTGGACCTGACTGAGAAGAGGCTGTTACAGCCAGTGCTATACACACATTTTTTTTGGTTCCCAGATTTTTTTAGCATTTGAGCATCATTCCAACCCTGCCATTCTGGACAGATTTTGCAGTGGTACATTAGGAACATCCTTATATTCTGGAACTTGTTACTGGTTTAGCAGCAAGGTACTGGACAAGAGAGAGCATTGACATGATGAGGAATAGCAAATCATTGTTCCTATTCACCAAAACCTCCTCCTGAAGCACCCACTTTGTCCAAGAGAGATCAGATCCAAAGATTTGTCTAACCCAGTGACAACTGAAGGATCATGCTGAGCAACCTGGTCTAGTAGAAGGTATCCCATGCCCATGGCAGGGGGTTGGAACTGGATGATCCTTAAAGTTCCTACCAACCCAAACTATTCTTGAATTCTATGATCCACCAGCTGAAGGTTTGTGTTTTATTTATAAGAAACAAAAATAGTCTTTCCTTTATTATTTCCCCTCATCAGCAGATTATTCTGCTCTCCTACATAGCTCTGATAAATGCTCAGGAGGGTGCTGAGCAACCAACCACCCTCCAGCCTGCCCTTAAAACATTAATGTCTGGTCACAGCCTCATCTGGCTACCACCAACTTTCTCTGGCTTTCATTCCCCACAACTGCTGCTTATCTAGATGTTTTGTGGATAAACAAAAGAATTTCCTTTCCTGGATAGGCTCCTCCTTTTTAAGTCATGCACTTGGATGACACAACCAGGCTGCTGTGACCTCACCAACAGCTCCTGAGTTGCAAAACAGCCACATGAATCAAGTGGATAAGCAAAAGGAAGGGGCTGCTGCTCTGGAAACAAAGTAGCTGTTTAGCAGAGATGCTTTTGTAGCCAGCAGATAAGGAAACAGTGATAGGAAGCTCATGAAAAAATATTTCTGCATACTGCTATGCAGCAGATGTTTGACAGCTTGTCCACATGGGGCAGTGATCCTTTGAACCAAGAAATGTTTTGCCTCATTTTTACTAAAAAAGACAGACTATGGCTACATTTATGCCACCTGGAGTAGCAGAATAATTCCCTCTTTTCTGCTTTGTGTATAATCCACCACAGCATGTCAGAGCATCACAGACTCCAATTTAGGGTCCACACAACTGATCCAAATGGTTTGCACAAATAAGCCACCCAGAGTGTTTTTAATTGTGTTCTCTGTTTTCCTGTTGTAGACAGCCCTAGCCATTCAATTTACCAAATAAGGTTTTCATCCTCACCCTCACCCTTGGGACAGCCAGACCAGAGCTGCAGTAAAACCCTTTTGCTGGAAAGCTCTAAGACCTCTTGGTGCTTACCAGCTTTGGTTGCAGACCAGAACACTCAGAAACTCACAGGGCTGTTCCCAGCTGTATTTCATGAAGCCCTTAAGTCCCATCTGCTTAAGCTTTCAGCACAGCACTTTGCTCCAGCTGTGCCTTGAACAGGCTCCTTGCCTTCAGTTTAATGGTGTTAGAAGCTGCAATATTCACACCAGTTGTTTACTGATCACACAGCTCTCCCAGTCTTTACGATATTATAAAAATACAAGGAGCTCCCATCCCAATCTGCATTTCATTGCTGATCTCAGACAACCAAATAGTGGAAATACTTTTATTTCCCCTCTATACAATATAATTAACTTTATGAAGAACCTCTTTTTCAGCAGGCTTTTCCAGCATCCATCATTTTGCTGGATTTCTTCCTCTACTTATCAGGACAGATATGGTTTCCCTAGTCAGAAAGAGCCTCTGTGAATTTAACGAAATTTTTTTTGTGGAGCTCTGCAATACTCATGGAACCCAATTCCCTATCTCCTTAACAACCTTTCTCATTACAGCATGAAATAACCTAAAACTCAGCTAAAGTGTTTGGTCCCATGTCAACCCCAGGCACAGACAGGGTGCTTTTTTACATTGATTTTTATGAGGCCATGGCATGAAATTGCTAATGCTGGGAAGAGTTCCCGAGCAATGGGAGGGGGAGGGCTGGGATGGATCTTCTGGGAAGGCAGGAGGGAGATGTGAGGAGGCAGAAGTGAGGCACTATCCTGTGCACTATATACGCTCCTGTGGTCACAGAGCAAAGCAGGGGGGCAAAGCAACAAGTCAAGGCACAAAAGAAAGAGAAGGGAAGTGCTGGAAGGAAAGAGAAGGAAAGGAACAGATGCAGAGAGGGATCAGAGTGTTAAACAGAGACTCAGCAATACAAGGCAAGAAGAAAGAAAGGGTGTGAGGGAGCACCAGCAAGGGAGAGGCAGCAAAGATACTCCTGGAGTCTGCTGGAGTCAGGGAAGAGTCAAAAATAATATTGAATAGATGGGAAAGCAATTATCATCATTTCAAACATGCAGCTGAATTTGTCCACCCTTAACGACACAGTCCAGCCTCCACTAAACCCCTCTTGACTCAGGCATGAATAGGTAAATGTCAGAGAGAAAGTTAGAAAGACTAGGCTGCTCATTCTCTTGCTAACAGCAATATATCCTGCAGCAAATCCCCACCTCCTTAAAAAAGTTCCCCAGAACTACCAGCTCAGCAGGCTTGCTAGAGACTTTTTTCTCCCCAAAAGGAATTAATGCTGCCTTTAAAATCATTGTATTAATGAACGAAGCAATTTATCTCTAAGAATTAATTACAATTCTTCATTGAGGTTTAAAATGTAATTGTGCACAAAGATTTAGAAAGAAGTTTGGGGTAGGAAAATACTGCATTTTACACCATCAGCATGACAGGACTTTTATGAAAAGACCATGGCTTCCAATAAACATTACCAAGCAGTGTTGTATGATAAAAAGGAAAAAAAAAAACAAATATCACACTGTGATACAGATTTTTTTTTTTAAAATCTGGAAAAGAGGTTAAATACTTAAAAATTATGATTATAAATGTATCTGCAATGGCTGGGATGCAGCATTCCCTTCAGCTGGGAAAGCATTAATTGCAACCTTTCCAACATGCCCAGGGACAAAGTCTTCACCTCTCTGAAGAGGAACTTAAAAATCGTTCAGGAATTTTCCCTGTCCTGCCTGCAGACAATAGCAAACAAGTGGAAAAGTGTCATGGCTTTGAGGAAGTAGGACAGTGGTGGAAATGGGTAAGCAAGAAACATCTGCAAAATGAAACCACTTTTAGCTGCCAAAATCCATGTGCGGCAACAGCCTATTTTTGAAAGTTTTGACCATGTTATCATTTACCCTGGAGGAACAGCTCCTTTCAAACTTCTAATTAAGGCATAGAATAATTTTATGATTTAGATAATTTCCATATGAATTAGGAACAACATAAGAAAAGAAAAAAAAAAGAGGTTAAAGGACTTGATGAGTGACATTGAGATAATGGCAGATTCTAGAGAGTGTTTGAGATGTTCTGGCTCCTCACCCCTTTGCAAACACATGGACTATGCAGTATCCAATGAGATGCCAATCTTTTAGAGTTTTGATTGATTTAAATTATTTCTCATGCACTATTTTTCTTTCATATAGATTCAAAGATTAGACTTTCAAGATTAACACTGGAATATGAACATTATTCATACCCAAATAGACTGGATTTTCTACGAGAAAGTAGTGGCTGCAAGGCTAGGCTATCCTGCAGATCAAAGCAAAATAAAGAACAAGCAAGTTTTTCCTTCTTCTGTTGGAACTATAATTTAATATGAACACTTAATTTCTGAAATACAATGAACAGCATATACTGCGACAGCAAATCTGTTCTCATTCAACAAAAAAATTGCTGTGACAAAAATACTGACAAAATGAAGACAAAGCTGATGGAGGGATAAAACTTCATTTTTTCCATTCAATCTCCATGTTGAGCAGTTTTCCACTGCATTAGCAGGTGCTCTGTCACACTAAGTCAACAGACATAGCCAGGAAACAGATATCATGTCTTCAGGCTGCATATAGCTAATGTTCTTAATTACGATACAATTGGCTTCCCATGTGTACTTTGCCCTGGCCAAACCAGGGGGGGAAAAAAAGTGAACATTCAACATCTGAAAAATATACCATGTCCATCCACCCTGAGACAGGAGTCTAAATCAAAGGGAGACCAACCAAACTAAAGCTCATTTTTGTAATGTGGCTTTGACAACCACACTCAAATTCTGCTCCTTGACTCTCCAAATATGACCTTGAACTGCACCACAAACAGAGGAAAAATGTCTTCATTAGCATTTTCACAGCTTCTTCCATGGGCCTC